CCCTAAGTATCTACAGATATTACTGGTTGGGAACTGTTCTCTGTTTGTCCATTTGAATATAATCACTTCCATTCTTTATTTTGTTCTCCTCCCTCATATGCCCCCTTATTTGTCCCTTCTCTTAACTAAACCATCCCGGGCATTCCAATCTGTCTGCATATGGCATCCTCCCCCGTCTCGGCTATCCCCTTTACATCTGCTATATGCTTTATAGAGACTGGATGATGCCCAGGTCTTTTCTCGGAGATATGTTCCAGCTGGGATTCCTCCCCAGCACATGTTTGGCAAAGGTTTAGATTTTTCCCATTCTCACATTTTGAGCAACTGGGTGAATGGGGAACTCCCTATAGCACAGACTCTCTAGCCTGGGTTTCATTGTGTAAGCAGAGTCAGGATGAGCTCCACCCTGACATCTGGTGGTGAGGTGTGGCAAGCTGTGGAAAAAAGAGAAGGAGTACTAGTGGCACCTTAGAGACTAACCAATTTATTTGAGCATAAGCTTTTGTGAGCTACAGCTCACTTCATCAGTGCATTCAGTGGAAAATACAGTGGGGAGATTTATATACACACAGAACATGAAAAAATGGGTGTTATCATACACACTATAAGGAGAGTGAAAAGAAAAGGAGTACTTGTGGCACCTTAGAGACTAACCAATTTATTTGAGCATGAGCTTTCGTGAGCTACAGCTCACTTCATCAGATGTTTACCGTGGAAACTGCAGCAGACTTTATATACACACAGAGAATATGAAACAATACCTCCTCCCACCCCACTGTCCTGCTGGTAATAGCTTATCTAAAGTGATCAACAGGTGGGCCATTTCCAGCACAAATCCAGGTTTTCTCACCCTCCACCCCCCACACAAATTCACTCTCCTGCTGGTGCTAGCCCATCCAAAGTGACAACTCTTTACATAATCAAGTAGGGCTATTTCCTGCATAGATCAAGGTTTTCTCACATCCCCCCCACCCCCATACACACACAAACTCACTCTCCTGCTGGTAATAGCTCATCTAAACTGACCACTCTCCAAGTTTAATCTATGCAGGAAATAGCCCTACTTGATTATGTAAAGAGTTGTCACTTTGGATGGGCTAGCACCAGCAGGAGAGTGAATTTGTGTGGGGGTGGAGGGTGAGAAAACCTGGATTTGTGCTGGAAATGGCCCACCTGTTGATCACTTTAGATAAGCTATTACCAGCAGGACAGTGGGGTGGGAGGAGGTATTGTTTCATATTCTCTGTGTGTATATAAAGTCTGCTGCAGTTTCCACGGTAAACATCTGATGAAGTGAGCTGTAGCTCACGAAAGCTCATGCTCAAATAAATTGGTTAGTCTCTAAGGTGCCACAAGTACTCCTTTTCTTTTTGCGAATACAGACTAACACGGCTGTTCCTCTGAAACCTATAAGGAGAGTGATCACTTAAGATGAGCTATTACCAGCAGGAGAGTGGGGGGCAGGGGGGAAGAAAACCTTTTGTAGTGATAATCAAGGTGGGCCATTTCCAGCAGTTAACAGGAATGTCTGAGGAGCAGTGTGTGTGTGTGGGGGGAAATAAACATGGGGAAATAGTTATACTTTGTGTCATGAGCCATCCACTCCCAGTATCTATTCAAGCCTAAGTTAATTGTATCCAGTTTGCAAATTAATTCCAATTCAGCAGTCTCTCGTTGGAGTCTGTTTTTGAAGTCTTTTTGTTGTAATATTGCAACCTCTAGGTCTGTAATTGAGTGACCAGAGAGATTGAAGTGTTCTCCGACTGGTTTTTGAATGTTATAATTCTTGACGTCTGATTTGTGTCAATTTATTCTTTTACATAGAGACTGTCCAGTTTGACCAATGTACATGACAGAGGGGCATTGCTGGCAGATGATGGCGTATATCACATTGGTAGATGTGCAGGTGAACGAGCCTTTGATAGTGTGGCTGACGTGATTAGGCCCTATGATGGTGTCCCCTGAATAGATATGTGGGCACAGTTGGCAACGGGCTTTGTTGCAAGGATAGGTTCCTGGGTTAGTGGTTCTGTTGTGTGGTGTGTGGTTGCTGGTGAGTATTTGCTCCAGGTTAGGTGTCTGTCTGTAGGCAAGGACTGGCCTGTCTCCCAAGATTTGTGAGAGTGGTGGGTCGTCCTTCAGGATAGGTTGTAGATCCTTGATGATGCGTTGGAGAGGTTTTAGTTGGGGGCTGAAGGTGATGGCTAGTGACGTTCTGTTATTATCTTTGTTGGGCCTGTCCTGTAGTAGGTGACTTCTGGGTACTCTTCTGACTCTGTCAATTTGTTTTTCCACTTCAGCAGGTGGGTATTGTAGTTATAAGAATGCTTGATAGAGATCTTGTAGGTGTTTGTCTCTGTCTGAGGGGTTGGAGCAAATGCGGTTGTTATCGTAGAGCTTGGCTGTAGACGATGGATCGTGTGGTGTGGTCAGGGTGAAAGCTGGAGGCATGTAGGTAGGAATAGCGGTCAGTAGGTTTCCGGTATAGGGTGGTGTTTATGTGACCATCGCTTATTAGCACCATAGTATCCAGGAAGTGGATCTCTTGTGTGGACTGGTCCAGGTTGAGGTTGATGGTGGGATGGAAATTGTTGAAATCATGGTGGAATTCCTCAAGGGCTTCTTTTCCATGGGTCCAGATGTTGAAGATGTCATCAATATAGCACAAGTAGAGTAGGGGCAAATACTCACCAGCAACCACACACCACTCAACAGAACCACTAACCCAGGAACCTGTCCTTGCAACAAACCTCGTTGCCAACTGTGTCCACATATCTATTCAGGGGACACCATCATAGGGCCTAATCACATCAGCCACACTATCAGAGGCTAGTTCACCTGCACATCTACCGATGTGATATATGCCAGTATGTGCCACTAATGCCCCTCTGCCATGTACATTGGCCAAACCGAACAGTTTTATTCTTATAAAATAATAAATGGACACAAATCAGATGTCAAGAATTATAACATTCATAAACCAGTCGGAGAACACTTTAATCTCTCTGGTCATTCGATTACAGACCTAAAGGTTGCAACATTACAACAAAAAACCTTCAAAAACAGACTCCAACCAGAAACTGCTGAATTTGAATTAATTTGAAAACTGGATACAATTAACTTAGGCTTGAATAGAGACTGGGAGTGGATGGCTCATGACACAAAGTAAAACTATTTCCCCATGTTTATTTCCCCCCCACTGCTCCTCAGTTATCTTAAGTGATAACTTAATATCCTCACTTATCTTAAGTGATCACTCTCCTTACAGTGTGTATGATAACACCCATTTTTTCATGTTCTGTGTGTATATAAATCTCCTCACTGTATTTTCCACTGAATGCATCCGATGAAGTGAGCTGTAGCTCACGAAAGCTCATGCTCAAATAAATTGGTTAGTCTCTAAGGTGCCACAAGTACTCCTTTTCTTTTTGCGAATACAGACTAACACGGCTGCTACTCTGAAAGCTCTGGAAAAGAACTTCAGGGGCCAATCTCATTTGTATAGGCACACCCACCCCGCCTAGAGTGAGGCCATGGCTGCCCAAAGGGTCACTTTGGCTGCTGTGGGATCCCCAGTGTCTCTGTTATTGGGGCAGGAAGAATAAATTGTTATTATCCTGATTATGGGAATCAAGGACAATGGAACTGCACCTTTTGTTATCATGGAGTGACTCGCCATCAATTAAGTAGCACTCACTAGGCAAGGGACATGGGTTCCAAAACTGTGAATTGAGAGAGAAGTTGGAGGTAGGTATTAGTGCCTGGTGGTGTAGGCCCCTTTGTGAGGGCCTGAAACATCAATTGCACCTCTGTCTCTCTCCACTGTGGAACATCAGAGCTAATTTTGGGTCTATTAGGAGTCTAGCTACAGGTGCTGAGCTGAATTCACTTTGGCCTTATGGTGCCCCAGCACTAAGGCTCCCACTACTACAAGCTGAAATCACTAAAGAGCTAAAATTACTAAAAGCTGAAATCACTGAGCACTGTGTTAAGTAGTTGGGAGCCTGAAGATCTATTGCAGAGTGGAGCAGAGCAGATGATGGGAGCTGCTTGTGGGATGCTGAGCGGAGAAGTTCGTGGGATGGCGGGAGCTGCTTGCAGAGCAGAGTGGTTTGTGGGACGGCTGGTGGAGCGGAGCAGCTTGTGGGGCAGATCGGAGTGAAGCTGCAGGACAGTCAGCTTCAAATTATGTAAGGTGCCCCTTACCTCTTCCCCCCACCCCCGCACACACACACACATTTTCACCCACACTAGGGAGTAACACTCTACAGATAAACTTTTGAACTCTGGGGCTGGACTTTTGCATTTGTTGGACTTTTTGGACTTTGGGAGATTTTTGGGTTGCTGGACTCAAGAGACGTTTGGGTTGTTGGACTCAAGAACCCGAGGGAAAGGACATGGCCCAATTTGCTGAGGCGGGTCTTTGCTCATGGTTTGGTTGATGAACTCTAGTTGTGGTGTTTTCCCAATTTAATGCTGATGTAATTTACCTCATGTTATTAAAGATTCTCTGCTACACCAAGACTCTGTGCTTGCGAGAGGGGAAGTATTGCCTCTTTGAGGCACCCAGGGGTGTGCGTAAGATTTTCCCAGGTCACTGGGTGGGGGCTCGAGCCACTTTTGCATTTGCTTTGATGAGAGGGAACTCCTTTGTACTGAACCCGGCCCTTGCTGCTATCAACTCGGCCTGGCAGAAGGGTTACAATTGCATGAATGAACAATGATGGATAACCAGTATCCAAACTCATGTTTCCTGATGGAAGCTATTAAGTTTTCCCAGATCACAACATGTAGAATTACTGATGCATGGAGGACCATAAAACATGGAATTGGTATTAGTAGGGCCAGTTGTTCATAATTAATTTCTCTAAATAATGAAAGTGTCATTTTTCATTGTGTGAAGTGCAACCAACCTGCTTCACCCATAAGAACAGCCCCCAGTAGTGCATGTAGTGTCTCATATTCACATTGTCTCTTCATCCAGGTATTTGTACTGCAACCATCACCCTTGACCCTGGGCACATACAGAAAGTCAGGGGAACATACGGTACATGCAGGTGACACCGTTCTGCCTCATTGTTGGACACCTTCTCCCCTACTCCATGTCAGATTCCAACAGAACCGACTTCATCAACCCCTCCACCTTCATCCTGCTGGGCATTCCTGGCCTGGAGGCAGCCCATGTCTGGATCTCCATCCCCTTCTCCACCATGTACGTCATAGCCATCTTCGGGAACCTTGCTATCCTGTTCATCGTGAAGAGGGAGCCGAGCCTCCATGGGCCCATGTACTATTTCCTCTGCATGCTGGCTGTCACCGACCTGGTTCTGTCCACCTCCATCCTGCCCAAAATGCTGAGCATCTTCTGGTTCAATATCAGGGAGATCAATTTCAGTGCCTGCCTCACCCAGATGTACTTGATTCACTGCTTCATAGTGACGGAGTCTGGCATCCTCGTGGCCATGGCTTTTGATCGCTACGTGGCCATCTGTGATCCCCTGAGACATTCCACCATCCTGACAAACCCCGTTGTGACCAAGATTGGCCTGGTCGTGGTGCTGCGTGGCAGCATGCTTGTACTGCCCTATGTCTTGCTGGCGAGGCAGTGGCCATATTGCAGAACCAACATCATCCCCCACACACACTGCGAGCACATGGCCGTGGTGAAGCTGGCCTGCGCTGACATCCGTGTCAGTAGTTACTACGGCCTCTCTGTGGCAATCTTGGTGATCAGTATGGATGTGCTTTTTATCGCTGTGTCCTATATACAAATCCTCAGGGCCATCTTCAGTCTCCCCACAAAGGACGCCCGACTGAAGACTTTTGGGACTTGCATCTCCCATCTCTGTACCATCTTAGTCTTTTACATCTCAGCTCTCTTCTCCTCCCTAACGTACCGGTTTGGCCAGAATGTGGCCCTGCACTTCCACGTTCTCATTGCCAATGTCTACTTCCTGGTGCCCTCCATGCTAAACCCCATCATCTACGGGGTGAGGACCAAACAGATCAGGAACAGGCTGCTACATCTCTTTACTCATAAAGGGATCTAAAATTTTCTCCTGGTGCTCTGGCTCTCACACTGAGCTCAATGAAGATCTGGAAGGTGACATGGGGCTGGGCCCTACACTTTCCTGACCTTACTGTGCGTTATCAATGTGACAAACTGGTAACTTGATCCCTGAAGCCCTGCTCTCTGCCCAACCTCTTCCCCTAAAGCCTGAACCTTGTTCCACATCTTCCCTTAAGGCCCCACCCACTTCTGTGACTCTTCCCCCAAGGTACTACCCTTGTCATTCACTCCTCTCATCCCCTCTCCCCATCCCTTGCTGGATCATCTCCACCTCCCTCTCCCACCAGCTGGGCTTCCTCTGCTCTGGGGTTAGGATGGGAGCTGCTGCAGCCTAACAAAGAGCCTGCAAGTGAGTGCAGCCAGGACACACAATTGGGGCCGACAGCTATATAAGGTAGTGAGTGACATCATCTTGTGTTCTTCTTTCATCACCCAAGAAGTCTCCTGGAAACACCCGAGGAACAAAGACTGAACTGGTGGAAGTGCTGGACCCAGGCTAAAGGGATGTTTAGCATGTGAATGGAACACCTGGGGCTTCCAAGTTGTAAAGCAAGGGTAGCTGGCCCCATAAGAATCTGCTGCCTACTTGTATCATCTCTTAGGGTGAGAATATGCTATTTATAACTAATCTGTTTAGCATTTTAAATTTAGTTTGTGTGTTTTGTTTATTTTCCAGGTAATCTGCTTTAATCTCTTTGCTATCCCTTATAAACATTTAAAATCTATCTTTTATAGTTAATGAATTTGTTTTACTTTATCTAAACCAGTGTGGGAGTGATAATTCAGGGGCAAAAGGCTGCTATATATTCCTCTCCATATTGAGAGTGGGGGAAAATGTTATGAGCTTGCAATGTACAGTTCCCTGTGCAAGGCAAGATCATATAATTTTGGGTTTATACTCCAGAGGGGGTTTGTGCCTGAGAAGCTGGAAGGTGCCCTAGGTTCAGCCTTCCCAGGCAGGAGCTGGTCAGAGAGCCTGTCTACGTGTGACAGCTCGGTGTGTCCCTACCCGTAAGTATGCTGGTGAAAGTGCAGGCTGAAGCCTGGGGGACTTTACAGCTAGCCTCAGCAGTACAGTAAGAAGGAGCCCAGGCTGAGGGTTGGGATCAGGATTCTGAGGCAGGCAGGGGATATTGTGCATCATACAGCTTGTGGGCCCTAAAGCTCAGCTACAAAGCCCTGAGGGAAGAGACCATCGTGTGGCTTATTTCTTTAGCTTTCAGCTCCCTTCATTTCCTCCTAGTTGGGGGCTTGAAGCAGGCAGGATCCCTTCAAAGGGGATGGGCTGGGAGCCGTTTGTCCTGAGCCAGGCTTCAGGAGCAAGGCAAGGGATCAATTTGGAAGCTGGGAGGACAAGAGCTGAGAGAGGTGGAAGGATAAGCCCGAGCTTTAGTTGGGAAGCTGGGATGCTGGGCAGAGGCTGGGGTGGCTGCGGTAGCTGATAATGAGGGAGTGGCCCAACTTGATGATCACTTTAGATAAGCTATTACCAGCAGGAGAGTGGGGTGGGAGGAGGTATTGTTTCATGGTCTCTGTGTATATAATGTCTTCTGCAGTTTCCACAGTATGCATCCGATGAAGTGAGCTGTAGCTCATGAAAGCTGATGCTCAAATAAATTGGTTAGTCTCTAAGGTGCCACAAGTCCTCCTTTTCTTTTTGCGAATACAGACTAACACGGCTGTTACTCTGAAAGCTGAGGGAGATAAGTGGCACAACTTCCATTCGTCTGCTATTTACACACCTACAGGGCACCATATCTGGAACTACAGGGCACCCATTGCCCAGGAGGTGAAGCTGAACAGTGAAGCTGAGTCTAACATACGCTCTGCATGACACTTTTGATCTCTATATCTGGAACCTCTTTAGCTAGGCTGTTAGGCAGCATTTGTGACAGGTTCCTCCCGGGGTTCCATCTGGAACTGGGGTACCACTCAACCCCCTGACTCACCAGCCTGGGCTCCCTCTAACACTGTACTGCAGTGACAACCTACAAAGATTTCCACCCTGCACTTTCACCAGCATACATACAGGTAGGGACACACCCAGATGCAGTTACAAGAAGACTCTCTGACCAGCCCCTGCATGGGAAAGCTTCTCCCAGCTGCTCAGGTACACCCCCTCCTCTGGAGTAAAAACCCAAATTATACCGTATTGCGCTGCATGGGAAACCATATAGCGTAAACTCATGACATTTGTCACCTCCTTCAACATGGAGAGGAATATGGAACAGCGTTTTGGTCCTGAATTTTGGTACGGCAAACTAAGTTTATTTATTTATTTTAGTGATAGCAAACAGATCCAAACAGATTACCTAGCAAATAAGCAAAAACCGCAAACTAAGCTTAATATACTAAACTGATTGGATATGAATACCAATTTCTCACCCTAAGAGATGATACAAGCAGGCTGCAGATTCTTAAGAGGCCAGCTGCCCTTGCTTTACAGCTTGGAAGCCCCAGGTGTTCCATTCACAGGCTAAACATCACTTTAGCCTGGATCCAGCACTTCCCCCAGTTCAGTCTTTGTTCCTTGGGTGTTTCCAGAAGTCTTCATGGGTGGGGAGAGAAGAACACCACATGATGTCACTCCCTGCCTTATATAGCTTTTGCATATGGTGAGCTTTTGTTTCAAAGCTTAGTTCCCAGACTGGTCTGTGAAAAGACATAGAATCATAGAATCATAGAATATCAGGGTTGGAAGGGACCCCAGAAGGTCATCTAGTCCAACCCCCTGCTCAAAGCAGGACCAATTCCCAGTTAAATCATCCCAGCCAGGGCTTTGTCAAGCCTGACCTTAAAAACCTCTAAGGAAGGAGATTCTACCACCTCCCTAGGTAACGCATTCCAGTGTTTCACCACCCTCTTAGTGAAAAAGTTTTTCCTAATATCCAATCTAAACCTCCCCCACTGCAACTTGAGACCATTACTCCTCGTTCTGTCATCTGCTACCATTGAGAACAGTCTAGAGCCATCCTCTTCGGAACCCCCTTTCAGGTAGTTGAAAGCAGCTATCAAATCCCCCCTCATTCTTCTCTTCTGCAGGCTAAACAATCCCAGCTCCCTCAGCCTCTCCTCATAAGTCATGTGTTCCAGTCCCCTAATCATTTTTGTTGCCCTTCACTGGACTCTCTCCAATTTATCCACCTCCTTCTTGAAGTGTGGGGCCCAAAACTGGACACAGTACTCCAGATGAGGCCTCACCAATGTCGAATAGAGGGGAACGATCACGTCCCTCGATCTGCTCGCTATGCCCCTACTTATACATCCCAAAATGCCATTGGCCTTCTTGGCAACAAGGGCACACTGCTGACTCATATCCAGCTTCTCGTCCACTGTCACCCCTAGGTCCTTTTCCGCAGAACTGCTGCCTAGCCATTCGGTCCCTAGTCTGTAGCTGTGCATTGGGTTCTTCCGTCCTAAGTGCAGGACCCTGCACTTATCCTTATTGAACCTCATCAGATTTCTTTTGGCCCAATCCTCCAATTTGTCTAGGTCTTTCTGTATCCTATCCCTGTCCTCCAGCGTATCTACCACTCCTCCCAGTTTAGTATCATCCGCAAATTTGCTGAGAGTGCAATCCACACCATCCTCCAGATCATTTATGAAGATATTGAACAAAACCGGCCCCAGGACTGACCCTTGGGGTACTCCACTAGATACCGGCTGCCAACTAGATATGGAGCCATTGATCACTACCCGTTGAGCCCGACAATCTAGCCAGCTTTCTACCCACCTTGTAGTGCATTCATCCAGCCCATACTTCCTTAAGTTGCTGACAAGAATACTGTGGGAGACCGTGTCAAAAGCTTTGCTAAAGTCAAGAAACAATACATCCACTGCTTTCCCTTCATCCACAGAACCAGTAATCTCATCATAAAAGGCGATTAGATTAGTCAGGCATGACCTTCCCTTGGTGAATCCATGCTGGCTGTTCCTGATCACTTTCCTCTCATGCAAGTGCTTCAGGATTGATTCTTTGAGGTCCTGCTCCATGATTTTTCCAGGGACTGAAGTGAGGCTGACTGGCCTGTAGTTCCCAGGATCTTCCTTCTTCCCTTTTTTAAAGATTGGCACTACATTAGCCTTTTTCCAGTCATCCGGGACTTCCCTGGTTCGCCACGAGTTTTCAAAGATAATGGCCAATGGCTCTGCAATCACAACCGCCAGTTCCTTCAGCACTCTCAGATGCAACTCGTCCGGCCCCATGGACTTGTGCACGTCCAGCTTTTCTAAATAGTCCCTAACCACCCCTATCTCCACAGAGGGCTGGCCATCTCTTCCCCATTTTGTGATGCCCAGCGTAGCAGTCTGGGAGCTGACCTTGTTAGTGAAAACAGAGGCAAAGAAAGCATTGAGTACATTAGCTTTTTCCACATCCTCTGTCACTAGTTTGCCTCCCTCATTCAGTAAGGGGCCCACACATTCCTTGGCTTTCTTCTTGTTGCCAACATACCTGAAGAAACCCTTCTTGTTACTCTTGACATCTCTGGCTAGCTGCAGCTCCAGGTGCGATTTGGCCCTCCTGATAACATTCCTACATGCCCGAGCAATATTTTTATACTCTTCCCTGGTCATATGTCCAACCTTCCACTTCTTGTAAGCTTCTTTTTTATGTTTAAGATCCGCTAAGATTTCACCATTAAGCCAAGCTGGTCGCCTGCCATATTTACTATTCTTTCGACTCATCGGGATGGTTTGTCCCTGTAACCTCAACAGGGTTAGAGACTGACTGAGCCATGTGCAGCGATCAAGTGATTGACCCAAAACCACACAATGAGTCAGTGGCAGAACTGAGAACAGTGAATCCTGACCCCCCACCCCACCCCAGCACCATTGCTCTGGCCATGAACTTCCATTGCTCCTCTGGGTTTTATTAGACACACTGAGGCTATTTGTGTGTTGTGATCAATGGAGTTGCCGTCCTTCTTAAACAGGAGGAATTTATTAAAGAAACAGCTAAAAACTACAGCCACAAAACAG